CATAGCAGCAGTGGAACAAAGTAGAACAGTGGGGCTTTAGCTTGAGCTTCTGCTAATGGGCTAGGTGTGGGGCCCCTCAGAGTCTTGCATTAGATGAATATCGCTGCCTTTTCCTGGGTATCTGTTGTCGACCTGCCTCAGAGCTGATGCCCGCTTGCTCCTTCCTGACTTGCCAGTGGCTTGTCTCCAGAAACAGTTCCTCTACTCTCATTGTCAGTGTTCCAGCTCCTGCCCTGCTCCATATAAGCTCCCCAGCTGCCTCTACTTGCCCCTTTTCACTTCTTTGCTTCCTCCACAATTCCATTTGTTTTTGGTCCTCCTATACTAGCTTTTCCACAACATACTCTGCACCCAAGTCTCTTGTCCTGCCCCACCCATCTTTTGCTTGACCCTTCAATCTCCCTAAGGTCTCCTCCTCTCAGACAGTGCTAGGACAATCCTGACAGCATAGCTCATTGTCTTCACACTTTTGTATAATTTACTAATGAAGTGTTTGTAACTCAAAAAAAATATAACTATGGGAAGCCTATATCAGACAAATATTAACTAGAAACAAAAAGAGGTACATTTCACAATGACAAATGTAAACTTATCACCCTAAAACAAAACCAGTAACAAACTCCCTACCTGTGTGAATCAAATAATAGATTCAAAGTGATAAGGTTTAAAAATGTCTAGTCTTGAACAGAGAGACAGGCAAATAAATATACTATCAAATTGAAGAAATTAGCACATTCTCCTAGTAAATTATTAAACATATAGGAAATTATGCACAAATAATATTTAAACATTATTAAACAACTCCTAACTAATATTTATAAATCATCATTCCTACCAACTACAGAATATACATTTCTTTCAAACGGACATGGGATTTTTACTGATACACTGGATACTTTGAATAAAATAATTCAATCAGTTTTCAAGGGCTTCAGTTATACAGAATATATTCTCAAATCAAGCAATACACTTATAATTGGCCTACCTGTCAAAGAAGATGGCAATGATAAATTCAAATTGAATGTTCATAAAAACGTAAGTACCACACAGAGAAAAATGTACAACTTATTCATATTTTATGTGCTTCGATTTAAATTAGAAAAGTAAGGCATAGAGTGAATAAGCAAGCTTACAAAAGAAAAAGCTTAAGCACAAAGGAGATGTGAGTAACTATGACATTATAGTAGAATTAGATGAAATAGAAAATGGAAAGAAATAGGCAATGTATCAAAGGGAATGCAGACGTATTTTTTTAAAAAAACGAATGAAGGTGGTATTCTCATATTAATGCTTATGATAAGATGGGCCAAAACACATATTACTAATATCCAGAACAAAAAGAAGATCATAATTGGCCTAAATACATGAAAAGATAAATATTATTGTAGCTGGAGTTGCTGTTCCACTAGGTCCCGCAGCTGATTAGCCCTCAAATAAACATACCAAGACTAATATTAACTTATAAACTGTTTAGCCCATATCTTTGGCTTCTTTCTGGCTAGCTCTCTCTTAATTAGAAACACATTTGGTGGCTCTTCTCCGCCTTCCTCTTCCTAGCCTTCTGCTGGTCTGGTAGCCCCGCCTATGCTTCCTGCCTGGCTACTGGCCAATCAGTGTTTTATTCATCAACCAATAAGAGAAACATATACACAGAAGGACATTCCCCATCATATTATAAATAATGTCTTTCCAATATTCCAAACTTGAGATAAAAAGTTGAGATTACAATGCAGTCTTCCCAAAGAAAAAAATTACCCATGGATTATTTTAATGATAAATTATATCAAATTCATTAAAATAATAAAAACTTTGTTAGCTACTCTTCTCTTACTGTGATAAAATACCATAACCAAATGAGACTGAGGGAAGAAAGAGTTTATTTTTGCTTATGTTTCCAGAGGAAGAAACCATATCATAGCAAAAAGTTAACAGATCACATCTTCAATCAGAAAAACTAAGCAGACAGAGGAAACTGGATGTCCGGCAATGCTATGAACTCTTGAAGCCCAACCCAGTGAGGTACTTCCTCTAGCAGCTTCACACTGTCTCCCCAAAGAGCTCCACCAACTGGGAACCAAGTGTTCAAATATCTGAGCCCATGGAAGACAATATTCATTCAAGCCATCACAAACAACTCATATAAACCTTCATTATTTAGAAGAGGAAGAAACAATTGCCAAATGATTTGTGAGATCACCGAAACTTGAATGAACTGACCTAACAAGTTTGACTAGATATCCTGGGCCTACTTAAAAAAAGATGAGGATAGTTAGAGAAGACTGTTAGGATTAACCAAAGAGTGATATTTAGAAAAATCAAGAGAAAGACCAAATCTAAATGTACCAGTTATAAATTTCCTTCTCTCATTTTGTATTCAACTCAACATTATTTTGAAATGTCTTTCCAAAGGACAGAAAATAATCCTACTGATTAGCTGTTAATAATAACAATCTGGAGAAAATAATACTTTCTATTTTCTAACCCATTACCAGGCATAATGGAGATTGGAAAGATGAAACCAACTTCTGAAAGTTCTGTCAGTCACTGAGTATAGCAAATGGGATCACTGCCATCAACGTCACATTATACCTGTTTAGGTACATGAGGGGAAAGTCATTAAGAAACATGTTAATAGACAGCTTATTTGATCATTCAAAGAGTCTTCTGCATTATTAACTGCTCTGGAATTTCTCAAGAACTAGTGAAAGACTTCCCTGTTGAACCTGTGATTTTCTCAATAACACATGCATTCCTGGCAGCGAGAATCTCCTGATTTTAACAAACATTACAATGCAATCAGGATGAAAATTTCCTCCATCCATTCATCTCATAGCTTACCAGAAACTGTGAGAAGAATTCAGGTTGTACTTTCAACACTTTTCCTGGAAGTTCCCTTAGCCAAACATCCAAATGCATAGGTCACAATCCTGCTATGGTTTCTGTTACTATATAACAATGAAAGTATTAAAAAAAACAATGAAAGTATTAATTTTCCTTACATGGGCTCTTTTTATTAGTAACTTTAATGTTCATATTTTCTCCCAGTTTGCTTTAAATGATTTATAAGTTCTATAAGCCAACATGTGATATAAGCACCACATTCCTCACTTCCTTTTGCATCTTCACTAATAGGCATCTTCACTAATAGACTTGTTTCTATTGTATTTCTACCAAGTCTGTATATAGCAATTATCTGCACATTTTATTCTGTGTCTGCAATTTCATCTGTCATTTGACTACATCCCATTGTAAAACCTACTTCAATATATATATATATATATATATTTCAGCCAGAGAAACAGATTTCAGAAGATACATCACAAGGAAGTGACTTATTCTACTGTGGGAATTTGCTAGGGAGTTCAAAATCTGTATGACAGGCTGAGCATTGCAGGTTGAAACACTAAACTACAAGATTCATCTATATACAGTCCTTAGGATTTTTTTCTTCATCTCTCTCTCTCTCTCTCTCTCTGGCTTGTGTGTGTGTGTGTGTGTGTGTGTGTGTGTGTGTGTTCAACACAGGGTCTCACTATGTAGCTCTGACTGTCCCGAAACTCACTAGACAAGGCTGGCCTTGGACTCTGCCTAAGTCTGCCTACTAAGTGCTAGGATTAAAGGCATGTAGGCATGTGTCCCAATGCCTGGCTGTTCTTCATCTCAATGTAAAATCATCTTTGCTTTTAAAGGTCCTATCAGACCTACTCAAATGACAAGGATATACTCTCTATTTTAAGTTTAGTTTATTGACAACTTTAATTTCATTTGTAGTTTATCTTTTCAATGTAAAGTAATATTCATAGGTGCTAGGGAATAAAACTGAATGAACATCTTTGAGATGATCATTATTTTCTGATCAATTTCTTCAAATAATTCAACACCACATTAATATAACCATTATTAAAATTTGTTTGGATAGCTAATGTTAATACTATATTGCACTTTATTCCAAATTAGTTATCAATCAGAGCAATGTCATCATCCGAAGCAAATAGATATTGGCATGCTATACCACCAGAAGCTAACCTGAGCCCAGAATTTGGGGTTTACATCAAGATTTACTCACTGTAATCAGTGATAACAACAAAATATATATAATTGTTCCTGCAGTCTACTGGCTTTACAGAAACTTCTTGAACATAGACAATCTAGGAGCAACATGCTCCAATATAATGGAGTAGATTTTATTTTCTATGTTAATTTAGACAAGGAAGAACAGGTGTTATGGATATATTTTTCATGCAACAACATTTACAGTGAAATCTTTGAAAGTACTGAAATTACCTTGTTACTTCCTGTTGGAGAATAAAAAAATATAATCAGAGAATCTGGAAGAAACTTGGCATTAATGAATATGAATTTCTTCCAGAATACCACAAATAAGGCTAGAGAAGTCTTAGCTGTGCAAAAAAAAAAAAAAAAAAAAAACCAAAAACAAAAAACCTAGGGGCTTCCAATTTTAAAATGAAGTGTGATTTAAAAGAAATAGTATATTCTTCTATGGCATTACTTATTCAGGAATGTATCTTTATTTTTTGAGTCAATATGCACTTTTCATCATACAGCTCTGGCTATGCTTGAATTCTCTATTGTAGTGGATGTCCTTGAATTCCTGATAGCCTGTCTCCATCTCCATGTTCTGGAATTACAGGGTGACCCAACATAGGGCCTCCAACAAACAACACAATACTCAATAAATTTTATCTGTTCCCCTAGGCCATGAAATGTACTTTTAAAATTAGGATTGTGTGCACTAGAAAAAAATTCATATTTTGCGGGGGAGAGACTATAAAATTCAATCAGGAACATGAAGTGTCCTGATGTAAAGTGTTCAGTAACAACAGAACTGGAAAAATACTTATATAGTTAACAAACCACTAAACAAACAACACTACCTACACTAGTAGAGAAAAGGAAATACAAGTAAACATTGCTACCAAGTTTTGAAGAAAAGGGCAAAACCTAAACTGACAATTACACTGCAAGTGAAATGTGAAGTCTCATATGCCTAAAATACTTGGGAAGGATGGATTATCTCCTGATTGCCCACCACAGTTTTGGCCTAGAATATTGGAAAACATGGGCTTCAAGAATCTAAATTCATTACTTTGAGAGTCTCCGGTCAGACACACCTCATACTGGTAGTTCTGGGACAGGGTGCCCGTGCCGCTTACATCCACTAGGTGGCTAGGAAAGTGTCCCTCAGGCACAGAGCAGCCACCCAGCGAGGTTGCTCTGGCCCTCCTGCACAGCCTCACCCCCACAAACAGCAGCACAAACAAGAGGAAGAGGGAAGACACAGATGCCAAGGCGATGACCAGGTACAGAGTGACCACATACTCGTCTTGTGCAGGTTCGTGTGCCACCTCGGGCAGAGGCAGGTAAGGCTGTGAGAAGCCATCCACCAGCAGCACATGCAGAGTGACACTGACAGACCTTGGAGGATCACCATTGTCCTTGACCATCAGCAACAGCCTGTGTTTGGGAGCATCACGCTCACTCAGGAGCCTGGAAGTGCGCACCTCGCCATTGTGAGCCCACACGCTGAACAGTCCTGGCTCCGTGGCCTTGAGCAGCTGGAATGACAGCCAGGCATTCTGGCCTGAGTCACGGTCAACAGCCACCACCTTGGTGACCAGGTAGCCTGGCTCTGCCGCCCTGGGCAGCATCTCAGTGCAAGGTACAGAGGCGTTCTGCAGAGGGTAGAGCACAAAGGGTGCATTGTCGTTGATGTCCAGCACCTGGACACGCACTAGTGCCTGAGTGCTGAGCGTGGGCGAGCCTTGGTCTGTGGCTCCCTACACGGAACTTGAAGGTCTGCAGGGCCTCATAATCCAGCGCCCTGAGCACAAACAGCTGCCCGTTGTCTGCATTGATGGAGATGAGTGAGGAGAGGGCCAGTTGAGGGTCGTCGGTGGGCAGCACCGAGTAGGTGATGTGGGCATTGGAGCCTGAGTCTGAATCTGTGGCGCTGATGGTGCCTATGTGCAGGGCGGGGCTGTTGTTCTCCTGGACAAACAGGGTGTAGGAGGTTTTTGTAGAAGACGGGGGCGTTGTCGTTGACATCGGACACCTGCACAGTTATGGTGTGCTGGGTTTTAAGTCTGGGTGTGCCTAGGTCGGTGACTGTGATGGTGATGTTGTATTCATCTCTGCTTTCTCTGTCCAGTGCTCCTTCTGTCATTATTCTATAGAAGTTCTCAACAGAAGGTTCCAGTGTAAAGGGAACACCATCCTGGATGGAACAAACCGTCCTTCCATTTTCTCCAGAATCTCGGTCTCGAATCCGAAACAGAGCCACTTCTGTCTCTGGTGAATTTTCTGGGATAGGGTTGGTGATCGATGAAATAGTTAATTCTGGATAATTATCATTGACATCCATCACCTGAATAGAAACAGAGCATTTTCCAGAAAGCCCTCCGCCATCGGATGCTTCTATATCTACTTCATATGAAGATGCTGTCTCAAAGTCCAGTGTTTTAATCAGTCGAATCTCTCCTGACATGGCATTTAGCTCAAAAGTTTTGCTCATCTCCTGAGAACTATGTAAAAGAGAGTATGACACTTCTCCGTTTGTCCCAGTGTCTAAATCCTTAGCCCAGACCTTAGCAACAAGGGAACCCACGGGGCTGTTCTCTAGGATTTGCACCTGATAGAGCGCCTGCACAAACTCAGGGGCATTGTCATTGACATCCAAGACAATAATCCGTATTCGCGAGGTGCCAGCCCTGGGCGGAGAACCACCATCCAGTGCTGTCAGAGTCAATCTGAACTCTGCTTGCTCCTCACGATCAAGCTCTTTGTCCAGCACCAGCTCTGGGTATTTCCTCCCATCACCTCGGTTGCGGATGGAAACGTGGAAATGAGAATTGGTACTAAGGCTATAGTTCTTAATGCTGTTGTTGCCCACATCCAAGTCCTGAGCGCTTTTAAGTAGAAACACAGCACCAATGGGGCTGTTTTCTGTGATTTTCACGGTCATTTCTCTTTCAGGAAACTCGGGAGAATGATCATTTATGTCTCCCACTAGTAGCTCAGCTCGAAATATTTCCAGTGGTTTTTTCAGTAACACTTGGAAACGAGTGACACAGGGCTCAGTGGAGCCACACAGCTTCTCCCGGTCCAGTTTTTCATTTAATACGAGCTTCCCAGTCTGTAGATCAAGCTGCAAGCGAGATTCATTATCCTCAAAGACCACCTGGGCCCCTCGAGCAGCCAGCTCTGCAACTTCCAGCCCTAGGTCCTTAACTAGATCAGCCAAAAACGTGCCACCAGGTGTTTCCTCCAACACAAAGTAACGGTGGGGCTTCCAGCCTGCCCCAGCCACTCCCAGTAAAATTAAGATCAAAAGAACTTGCCTCTGTCTATGCTCCCATCCAGTCTTCATCTTTGCTTCCACACCCAGGATGCAAGGGCTCCCAGACAGCGGTCGATCTGTCAGATTATAACCTGTTTCGAAGTGTAGGGTAGCAGCAGTTTCTGGAGAATTAATGGTTTGAGCTCTGTCTCAGGTCTTTTCTAGCCGGAGATCTGAAGAAAAAAAAAATTTTCCCCCCTTTCCACGGTCGTCCTTTTTTAAGCCTTAGCCTGCAGCGCCACCATGTGTTAATTTCGTTTCTCAACAGATCGCTACATGGTTCCATTCTTTTTATACTCTATTTGGTTGTCAGGGTTTGGAAATAAATTCAATCACGAAACAACATTATTTTGATTATGTAGTCCCTCATTAAACAAAGAGAGTTCTTGTTGTTAATGTGTCGAGTTCTGAAAAATAAACGAGGAAACAACCTAGACAAGCTGTCTGCCTACTAGAAACCCTGTAGTCTGTGTTGGGGGTACTCTAGGGGAAACTGAGAAATGAAAGAAGGCATAGTACTGATTGTTCAGTCATCTTGTAAAATTAGTGACATGTAGCCATGCAATTTAAAATGCAGCATAGCATAAAGTGGGGTCAACACTTATAGGGTGTCTTTGTAATTTTATGTCTTCCAGGTAACATAAAGTTTCATAAAGGAAAAAAATTCTACAAATTAGTTCCAGTTTATGATACACTTTGTACATATGGTCAGGAACTTAAAATTTCATAAAAGTTTTTCCCTGTGGGAAAACTCATATGAAAGCACATCTTACCCCCAATTTTTCTCTCTGGTGTATTTCATCACACATACCATAGATGAATATATTTATTTACTTTGTGTAACCTTAAGTATTTCAGCATTGTTTGTTTTACTGCTGAAACATAATATCTAAAATAATACTTGGGACTCAGTAAATATACTTGCTTAATCCATCATAGAAGAAAACACAAAATAGTGTGAATTTTCGTCTTATTGTAGATGTTTCTTGTTTTGTTGGGATCCTAACTCATTTTTATAATAAGATGGATTAACAAGACAACATTTTCCTAGGTATCAGTTCTCTATACTTCTTCACTAGTCACTTGAAATAGCATGGAGTGTCTAAACCATCTTTCCATTAAATAAATAAAAAAAAAAACCCTATGGCTTGTCCAAACAAAATAGTCTTTAGGCCTGGCCATGAACTTGCCTTAGTTTACCATCATTCCTATATTCAAAATTACTGATTTAGACAAAGGATTCACAGTTCCTTACCATGTTACTATACCAGTTCACAAGTTTTTGATTTGTGTTGTAGTAGCATGCTTGGTTTAATAAAAATATGAAATTAACAGGAATAACTCATCATTCCAGGCAAGAATATCTAAGCATGCTTTTAAAGAAAACAAACCAACCAATCTTTATTGAGCTGGACTAGAAGAATCTATTAGAACACATCTTAGTTCTGTCCCCAGCCCCACCCAATAGAAACTGTTGACTTGGGTATTACTGACAAGAACGTCCTCAACAGGACCACTCGTCTGTTAGCTTTCCTTGTAACATTCCTAACAGAAAGACTAGAATAAACTTGGTTTCTATGGTGCTTTTAAAAGTAAACAGGATCAGATTGACTCAGTTTAGATTACTACAACCTGAGTTGTACAAAATGAATTAAGCTTTGATCTTATAACTATGCTGAAGAGCGCTATTTTCAGACATCTGGCTAGTCAGATGTCACAGGAGGGATTTTTAAAATAAGTTTTGAGATAATCCAAAACATTTTAAACAATATTCATATGTACAGCATGCTGCATGTTCATATGAAAACAATAAAAGCCTTGGAACTTCAGAGAAACTGTCTTTCCCAATTAATACCACTGTACAACAAACTCTTGCATTTTCAGATACTCTATTTGAGATAGGAAAGCACAATGTCAGACCGAAGACACACTGATCATTCATGACATCTGTGTCACATTTCAAACTTTTCAAAAATGTTTCTGGACAATAAAGTATTTTCAAATCAATGATGGTTCATTTTGATTATCTGACAGGCTGAAAAAAGTCCACGAATGAGTAAAGTTCTGTGTCTTCATCTAACCTGTAAGGGTATGAACAGACTTTATCATCTCCTGAATTAGGAAATTAAAGGCAAAATGTTAACAATTCTTTATGAAGATAAAACAATGGAAAACAAAGAATGTTTAGAAAGAACAAACCTTTATCCAGAAACCATTTGAAAAGTCAACCAATTGTTAATCATATCCAAAATCATTCACAGAGGTGGAATTCTCCTCCACGCAAGGCATAACCTCATTGTTGGGAGATACAGACTTTAGGAACCAAAAATCTTTGGTATCTGATACTCCAGTCAGACACACCTCATACTGGTAGCTCTGAGACAGGGTACCCGTGCCGCTGAAGTCCATAAGGTGGCCAGGAAAGTGTCCCTCAGGAACAGAGCAGCCACCCATAGCCTCCCTGGCTCTCTTGCACATCCTCGCCCCCACAAATAGCAGCACAGACAAGAGGAAGAGGGAAGACACAGACGTCAAGGCAATGACCAGGTACAGAGCGACCACATCCTCATCTTGTGCAGGTTCGTGTGCTACCTCGGGCAGAGGCAGGTAAGGCTGAGAGAAGCCATCCACCAGCAGTACATGCAGAGTGACACTGACAGACCTTGGAGGATCACCATTGTCCTTGACCATCAGCAACAGCCTGTGTTTGGGAGCATCACGCTCACTCAGGAGCCTGGAAGTGCGCACCTCGCCATTGTGAGCCCACACACTGAACAGTCCTGGCTCCGTGGCCTTGAGCAGCTGGAAGGACAGCCAGGCATTCTGGCCTGAGTCACGGTCAACAGCCACCACCTTGGTGACCAGGTAGCCTGACTCTGCTGCCCTGGGCAGCATCTCAGTGCAAGGTGCAGATGCATTCTGCAGAGGGTAGAGCACGAAGGGCGCATTGTCGTTGGTGTCCAGCACCTGAACACGCACTAGTGCCTGACTGTTGAGTGTGGGCGAGCCTTGGTCTGTGACACCCACGCGGAACTCGAAGGTCTGCAGGGCCTCATAGTCTAGTGCCCTGAGCGCGAACAGCTGCCCGTTGTCTGCATTGATGGAGATAAGCAATGGGAGGGCCAGCTGTGGGTCGTGGGTGGGCAGTAGGGAGTAGGTGATGTGGGCGTTGGAGCCTGAGTCTGAATCTGTGGCACTGATGGCGCCTATGTGCAGGGCGGGGCTGTTGTTCTCCTGGACAAACAGGGTGTAGGAGGTTTGTGTGAAGGTGGGGGCGTTGTCATTGACATCAGATACCTGCACAGTTAAGGTGTGCTGGGTTGAGAGCTTGGGTGTGCCAGTGTCGGTGACTGTGATGGTGATGTTGTATTCAGCTTTGCTCTCTCTGTCCAGTGGATTCTCTGTTACTAGAGTGTAGAAATTTTTGAAAGTAGGTTTCAAGAGAAAAGGAAGGTTGTCTTGAATTGAGCACAGCATTCTGCCATTGTCTCCTGCGTCTTGGTCTCGTACTCTGAAAACAGCGACCACCATTTCTGATGAGCTGTTTTCTGGGATCGGACTCATAAGAGACGTAAAGACTATTTCTGGTCGGTTGTCATTCACGTCTATAACTTGAACAATAATGACTGATTTTCCAGAGAGACCTCCACCATCAACAGCTTGAACATTTATTGTATAAGACTGAGTTACCTCAAAATTTAGGAATGATTTCAAATGGACTTCACCAGAAATTGGATGAATTTTGAATGTTTTCCGTACATCTCTAGAGACATGAGAAAATGAGTAAGATATTTCTCCATTCATCCCCATGTCCAAATCTGTAGCAGACACCTTGATTACTAGTGAGTCCATAGGGCTATTCTCTGGTACTTGAATCTCATACAGCATTCTTTCAAACTCTGGGGCATTGTCATTCACATCCACAACCACAACTTGAATCGGTGCAGTTGCTGTCCTTGGCAGGGACCCACCATCCATGGCTGTTAGTATCAAGCTAACTGAAGGCTCCTTTTCTCTGTCCAGAGGTTCATCCAGTACCAACTCTGGGTATTTTCTTCCTTTACCTCCGTCTTTTAACTTAAGGTAGAAATAGGTTGTGGGGCTTATTGTATAGTTTTGGACCCCATTCATTCCTACATCTAAGTCCTGAGCATTATCCATTTGGAATGAGGTCCCTGGAGTAGCACCTTCTGAGATATTTAGAAATATGAGTTTCTCCAGGAATGTGGGAGGATGGTCATTTATGTCTTCAACCAAAAGCTCACCCTGAAGAAATTGAAAAGGATTTTCCAGCAACACCTGGAAATGCAATATACAGGGTTCACTGGTGCCACAAAGTTCCTCCCTGTCCAATTTTTTGTTCAAGACCAAGTTGCCAGTCTCAAGTTCTAACCGCAAATAAGGCTGATAGTCGTCAAATATAACTCTAGCACCCCGTTCAGCCAGGTCACCCACACCCATGTCTTTAATTATATTGGCTATAGAGGAGCCAGTCTCCATTTCTTCTGCCACAGAATAGCTCCAGGTCTCGGAAAGAACCGAGGACCCTCCCAGGAAAGCAAAAAAGAGCAGAACTTGCCTTATATGCTGAGCAGCCATCACTCCTGGCTCCATCATTCGTTAGACAAGAGGTCTGCTGCTGTTATGTGCCACAACTCAATCTCCGGCAGCCCAGAGAGTGGCTCTCCCTGTCTGGACCTTTGGGAATTTATAGATGTGCACTCCTTTCTGGAGGGTCTTGTCGGTGCCCTGCCGGTTCAGACAGCCTGTGTGCTGTTTGATCCGGGGCTTTCACTTCCTCTCCTTAAGGGAAAACTGAGCTGCTGTTAGGAAACCATTTCCCGTCTTATCCTGTATCGCCACCATGTGACTATGCAGTCAGGTTTCAGACAAAGCTGGGTAAGTTTGAGACAAAAATACTAATTTATCGAATCTATTTGTTAATGAACCTAAATTTTATTTTCTTCATTTCCATTTCCATTCCTGAGTTGTAGCTTTTGTGATTAACACAACAAATTGCTATCTGATAGAGCTGCGCTG